GCTTTCTTTTGGTCAGGGATAAAGCTTGAGAATAATTTTATCTTTAAGGACAAGCCAACCGACACAGCGATCTCATTCATCCGTGATACGACAGACTTTAGATCGCCAAAGCTTCAAGCTAGTAAAGCGATATCGTCGGTGTAGTCCACATCAGTCAGCCGGCTTCCAGGTGCAAGCTCAATACCGCTTATTAACGTAGGGCCTTCCCAAGAATCCAGTCGAATAGAATGGGCGACAGGACACAGCCCCGTTGAATGCTAGACCGAATAGCGAACGGTTCTTAAAGGTTGACATGTACCAGAACCCGAGCAGTGGTGAAACTGTAGTATGCATTAATCACGCTGATTATTTGAGAATATCTGAAGAAGCCTAAATAAATGACTGAGTTGTTTTAGCATGTACGAATCAAATATCTGAAAACATGGCCGATTTGGTAAAACCACGCAGTCAATACGTGTTATTGGCACATTCAAAAGATATCAGAATGACCATTTCCAGTCCATACACATAGACAGTTTGTAGGGAAAGTTATAATCGACTAAACAGGAGGCAGGAAAAAACTCTACTTTGTTCACTCATCGACAGAGTTAGAAAAGATTTGATTGATAGACCAAAAAGCACGTATTTTCGGGATGAACGGAGGGATGAAAGTATCATTTCATTGGAAAGTTGAGAGACTTGATATTTATGGCAACAGGAAGTGGATAGATGATTCTTCTCATCGAGGTCCACTAACCAGTGTTCAAAAAGTTGTGGTTAAACAAACAGAAACACGGAAGACTTACCCTGAGTTATGCAGGTAAAGTAATCATGAGATTCGTCCTTAACATCTTCGCCTCGTGCCCGTCTTTTGTCCGGATGATGTTTGAGTACAAGTTTACGATCTTGAAATGGAGATAATAATTTGTGTGAGTAAAACTATTAGGCGTGATGAACGCAAGAGAGTCCACAAATTTCATAATTTGCAGGGGCACGTTAATCCGTCGAAAACGCGGGACTCACGATGTATCAAGTTAGCTGCTAAAAAGTGACGAGTTCCAATCTTTAAGAAAGCGTGGTAAACAGAATAATGTTTCCAATGGCTGTTATGAGGTAAACGGGTATCCTGTAATACACGGCAATACTTCGAAGGATTCAAGTAAACCTTCTTAAAAGGCATGTCTGTGAGTATAGGGAATTGACGCTCTTTGGAAATACCGACGCCAATATAAGGTCTACGCGATGGTGAACAGCAGATATATGCCGCAGTGGGTCAAAATCGTGGAAAAGATCAAGTACTTCGCTTAAACGCGTCATTTAATGGTAACTTGAATCGTTTTTATTATGCAGTGGACTCAGCTGACTGCTTGTTTGACAACAGTGAATGGTGCTCGAAAAGAGGCAAATTAACGCCCTATCTTGCATAACTTATCTCCAATAGATTTAAATAGAATATCGCGCACAAATTAAAGGAAGACTTATTGTGCCGACGTTAGCACTTAGTTACCCGTACCCAGGTGAAATAAGACAAACTTGAACTTTGTATATGATTACTACTGTACCGTGGCATGCAAACAAGTCATTTTCACATTCTTACTGCGACCGTGCAAATCGAGAGTTAGCATTGCGTAAGGCTATGTAGACATTTACACGACCTGGAGTTGGACTGAAATCAAGATGAAAAATTCGATGACTTATGTCTACTGTCT